GCCTATTTAAGTGTTATTATTGAAGTGCTTATTGACCCACAGTAATTATGTCTGTCCAATCCTACCTGAGCATCACGTCAGCTGAACCCTAAGTTTTCGCTCAAGTTATGCTAGTTGCCGATTTTGCATTCTTTTGTGAAAAAGGCATGATTACTTGTACTATTACATATCATGTTTAAGCCAACTAATACATATGCAATCGGTGTTAGCAATGATGTACTTTTTCTTAAACTGAAATTTACATTAGTTGATCCTCTCAGAAGGGCGAGGTCACTTAAAGTAGATACATATTCTTAAATTATTCTCTTATTACAAACAAAGCTCTGCATCCGAGCTCGCTTGAGCTATTAGATATCCAGATAGTTAAGCAAGTATAACAAAATTTCTCGTTTTTCTGGAGTTAAGTACATTCCAAGATTGACTCAGGCCATTCACTCATTTATGTTTCTTCCGCCCCAAGAGTTTTAGTGATTATCTGGAAGTCATTAGTGCTTTTAATTCTTCATTTTTAGATTTTTATATGTAAAATCATCTTAAACCATTTTACTTTTTTACTCAAAAATCTAGGTGAGTGTGATTAATCTCCCTGGAAAAATCTCCTACTTGAACATTACCTTACCTAATGTAATTTGCTTGTATGCACCTCATGAGCTCAGGATTGACAAAGCCAAACCAGATTCATGCCAAGCCCTGCGAAGTCTTCGACCTTCTGTCAATATGATAGTGGCTCAAAATGATTCAAAATCAGTCCATTCTTGCCCTCCAGATAGGATACCGCTAACCGAGGATCAATTTATTCAACTGGAGATTGAGTGCTTCTCTCGTCCGATTATAAACTCAGAATTAGAGGCAAAGTAAGCCTAATTATTTTTAATTGTTCAAGCGTAATGTTTATATACTAATATAACGTTTTTTTAGTCAGAGCGATCTTCAATTACGTCCTGAGTTTAAAGTAGGAGGCTGCAATGACTCGTTTACGAAGAGGACTTTCTTATCATGTTCTTCTAAAAATTCAAATTCTCCCAATTGTACGATCAATAGAGCTATTTTACCAGCTTCTCGTGTACATCAAGAGACAGGAATCCGCTTGCTCTCCAGCAGAGATGCAACTTGCATAAATGATATAATTCCAATATCCGGGCGAAAGAAAGAGCCAAATTCTGTAACACTAAGTGGACTAAAACGAAGACTACCTGAATCAAAATCTACTCCACAATCCTTTGATTCTCTTCTTCGTGCTTCCCATACTCAACGGCTTTCCTCCTATGGCCTTGGCCATCTCCTTAACCAATCTTCAGACTCCGTTATGACATCTCCATTGACACGCACATTAGGCTCTCTGTGTAGGAAAGCATTCCTACAGACAAATATTTTGGACCATTCCCCTGTTGCCGCTGGATCAAAGTCTTGTGAATTGAGCAATTTTTTTGACACCTCAGATATCCAGTGTTCGAAGGACACTAACGCCTCACGTCAATTGAATTCTCATTCATACAACTCGATTCAATTTTTAAATTCGGATCGATCTTCAATTATTCAGCTCTGCCAATCTAACGAAATTTTTCAGAGTATGCTCAATGATGGTAAGTTATCAAGGGTCTTGACAACCGTTTTGAATGATTTGAGCAACCCTAAAGACTGCATAGTCCGCAAAACGTATGTGTCATAAACTGATCGTATGAATTTAGTGGCCTTATACTAAGTGTGTTTTTGCGTTCGCGCTTATAATAGTATTAGTTCATGATGGGGATATGGACGCTAGAAGGCGGGGCTAATAAAAGCTGACGTGTTTAATAGGTTTCAAATCTTCCGGTATATCCTAAGTAAGTGTAGTATTAACCCTTTGTCTCTGTTGAATTTCTTCACATTTGTATTTGTAGGTCTCACGTTTCCGTTGAATTACACATTGCCTCTAAAATTATTCAAAATCCAGGATGGACCGCATTTTTGACCTTAATTAGGTCTCATCACCCTTGGTAAATTCGATAGTATTAAGATCAAGATAGTCTCGTTTCGTTGTATATAGATTGTTTGACCTTTCTCTTTGCAACTTGGTCGTATTGTCAGGAGAATCTTGTTTGGAGTCCATATTATGCACGATAATTTCCACATTCAGACCGAGGACGGCTTCCCTCTTATGACCTTGGTTATCACCTTTCCCAATCTTCGGAGTCTGTTATGCCCTTTCCATATCTGACCGTCTCGTCAACCAATCCTTTGTATAAAAACATGTATATAGGCAAGTATTTCGAACCATTCCCAGACGTTTCGCCGGAGTCAGTGGGCCTTGTCATTCTTAGCATAAAACTACAACTCATCAAAGGCACAAAGGAATCGACTTCATTTGTTTCTTTAACATGCTGTAGCGTGCTAAGAAGGGTAAGACTCATTGACGATGCTGAAGATTAAGTAGAGATGTGTATAAGAAACCCACAAACAGGTTTCTTTTTGAATTTCTTTTCTAACCAGT